GAAAGGAAATACCAATATCTACTGAATCAGTATTTTTATTAGAAGAAATTGGTCTTAATATATAAAAAAGGAATTGACTTTGGCTAAAGTCTACAACAGATTATATGCACATATGTATTTTTTGTATTGCTGAGTACTTCCTAGACTGTTTTGTTTTCTTTTTTGTTACATTTGGTTTGCTGAAAATCTGTTCTTCCTCTGTCATTGATTTCATATTTTCAAGGGTTTTTTAATTCTATGGCTACTGTTCTGATATCATTTATAACTCAGTTACTAACCGTTTTTTGGGGGCTTTTTTTTTTTTTTTTTTCTGTAGAGAAGAAAATCTGCTAAGTATAGAATAGCAAAAGAATTTGAATGACACCAGGAAATACAGTAAAACTAAAATTATGGCAGACTAACATAGAAGAATGTTTATACTGGAGTTATTTCTCTTCTTATGAATGTTATTTCTGTTAAAACACAATTCTTTGTTTTTTTTTTTTTAACTATTGAAGTTAAAAATGAATGTATTGAAAAGTTTATTTTCACTCTTGAACCAAGCTAACTTTTATTCTCAGAATTTAGGCTATCATTACCTAGTTTAAATATCTGTGACTAGAGTTACTTAAACAGAAGCTTTATGTGATGATGTTTTATGTGATGATGTTTTTCTTTTAATCACATTTCATTGTGTTACATGTCAAAATTACTCTGATTGAAAATTATTATTACTTTCCCTTAAATCACAGTTATTGGAAGAGAAGATGATAGCTGCCACGACATAATGAACTATTCTTGGATGTAGCTAGAGACTGTGCCCCTTTTTCTGTTGAAGTTGAACTGTGACACCTAAATATTTAAGATTTATAGGGCTAGAAGTACAGTATCAGAAAGATGTTTACCACTAGTTCCATTCAGATAGAATTGTAAGAACGAAGTACAATGGGCAGGTTGCATTCCCAGCCATGTTCTGTGTGTTTTGTTTAGCAGCTGTTCAGTATGAACTTAGTCTTTGTAGTAAAGGTCAGAGTAAAGGTCTTTCCCATGTCTTCAAATGCTTTGGTGGTTGGCTACAGATGGGGTTCTACCTGTAGTTGCTTGTCACTACTTTTCTCTGGCTCAGTGAATCTTCTTATACAATGTGACGATTTAGAAGAGTGTTGCATCCCAGCCTAATCTCTAGCTCAGGGTTTAGAATAATTTTTTGAAAGGTGGGGGGTAAGAGTTTGAATGCTTTTTAGTTTGAGAAGTGTGATTAGACCACCAAATACACGCTTGCTGCATTCTACTGAAACTGTACAAATGCTTCATAGCATTTTTTGAAATAAAAGTATGAGCCAAATGGTTGATTTAGAAACTGTGTGGAAGAGTAAAAATTACTAGAATACCTGGGCTTCACAAACTTTGGATTTGTCTTCAAAAAAATAGTGAAATATTATCACATGTATTTTACAGAGTGGAATGGGAACATAAAGATTTAGCCAAAAATGAATGTGGTCCTTCCTGAATTAAACTGAGAACCTGGAATGGAAAATTAATTTTTATTGGATAATTTTGGCAAAGTTCTGTAAGCTACTGGATTATGATGGAAAAATTTCAGCTTCATTAACCATGTCTCTCTGTGATAGGTTCTCTTGGTTAAAAAATGGAGCATGTTTCTTCTTAGCTTAGAAATTGTTGGAAGGCATTGTAGATCTGTGAATCAGAGCATTTTGTGCTCTTGACTCTTGCCGTCATTGACTTTACCTCTTCTTTGTGCCTCCTTCCGATAAAGGGAAGGAGAATAGACTTGAACAGGAGAAGTAGCAGTAAAGCAATTTGAAGCCAGAAAGAGAAAATATGGTGAGTGATAGAAAGCATAGTCCTGTCTGCTGCCTGTACCTTTCTGCCAAAGACTGGTCTGAGTATATGGAGAAGAACTGATGCAATTGGAGAGTAATTAACTTGTGAAGGGAAATAATTGCTTGCAGTAGAAGTTTTGTAAACCTATTGTACTAGCTACCCATGTGTCAGTTGTGCAAAGTCCAGATAACTTACAGTATGTACCAAGCACCTGAATTTTGATTTTATCTCCAGTGCAGTTCTATTCTGGTTAAGTTCTTATATCTAACGAAGTTCTGCAGTTTGTTAAAAAACACAATTTATTTGTCCTGTTTTGGTCATTCCCACAGTTCTAAAGGGGATAGATGTGCTCAATAGCTATGAGGAATAGGATTTGACTCTTTTATGATACAAACACTTCAAACTGTCATGACATTACTGAATATTTTGATACCATTGAACCATTTTGACAAGAGATCCTCAAGATTTTGGAGGGCTGTTTGGTAAGAATGATTTCTCCCTGTTCTCACAAATACTCTTTCTTTAGTTAGTTAAATGCGGAGGAGTTCTGGAGAGTGCAGTGCAGCTTGTAATACTTCTTGCTCACCTCTCACTCAGTGCACTCCTTTCCTTTCTGGAATCTCCCTGGAATATGGATTTCTGTACCATCTTATCTCTCATTTTCTTGAGACATGCATATTCCAATTAATTTTGTGAGCATGGCTGTTGTATTCTGCTCTGGAACTGTGGCGGTGATAGTACAACCTGACTGCAGTCTCTACTACACCTCTTCTTTGCTGGAGTACAAAGGTAATTTCTAGCACTCTGTTTGTGTCCAGCCCTATCTGGACAAAAGGGCTGTCCGATACAAAGTGTGGCAAAGCTTGGCTAAGAAGAAGAGAGCACAATGTTACCGGTACTGAGATATCACATACCTGTCAACATCTGATAATTTTGATACCGTTTGAGTCATGGTATAGTATCATCAGAGTGAAGAATGGAAAGCCACGATGTAGGCAGGAGAATGTAAATAACCAACACTGCCTCTTTATTCTTTTATATCAATAAAAGATGAATCTGGAGGTACTGGAACTGGAGGTACTTATAAAGAACTGTTCTTCAGTTTCTGTATGGTGACAGCAAGAACTTGAGTAGTCCTGTATACAGACTGATTTTACTAATACGTGGTCTTGTACTTCCTATTAGAGCAAATACTTTCATGTCTACAGACACATCGGATCGCTTTCCTTTGTGTCATTATATCACTTTTGTCTTGTTTGGATTCCCCTTACCTATCTGTTCCCTTGTGAACTGATCATGTCCCAAGTGGTGGAAATCACAGTAGCTGTGTTATGGCCATGTGTTTTAAAACAAACAAACAGTTGCTGCTTTCATACTACTAGCAATGACTACTCATTATAACTAGTTTCCTGAGATGTTTTAAAGTAGGGAGAAAGGTCTTACTTTTTAAGGTAGGATTTGCAATTAACAAGCATTTGCTGTATCCATTTAGGAAGGACAGAATGATTTTACCACATTGCTGGAGACAATGCTACTTTCCCAGTTAGCATGGCAATATCTGTGTGGAATGCTACCAAAGATCCAGAGTTTAAAAATTCATACCTACATTTCTGTCTGTATTTAGGTACTCCATTTGTGCCAGTAGGTGGTTTTAATTCCATATCCTGGGCAGAATCCAGGATATGTGAGGTTTATAAAGTGGATACAATTAAGTAGATTTACATTTGGCTTCTTGGTTTGCATAGCAGTGAATTTGGTTATGAATGGAATACTTGACACTGAGGACAATCCAGTGTTGCTTCAGTGCTGGTTAGGACTAGAGAATCTTAGGTGTTGAATCATAAGATTTCTTTTCTGAGTAGAACATTACAAGTTTTTCAGGACCTGCATTGGTCCATGAGTCCTTTCATATGTTGGGAAGACTGTCATTTGAGTCTGTAGGTTTTTTGGACATATACCTTGCCATTTGCTGTCTGCTAGGGGAAGCTCAGCTGCCTTGAGTCTGAATGATTTAACTTATTTTAGGGTACTATCAGCAAAAAACTGAAGTTGCAGAGTGATACACTGTTGTAATAGCATCTATACACAGTTTGGTTTAGTTTGTCAGGCTGTGTTCTAAATTCCACATTCATTAACTGCAGAGATTTGGTAAAGACAATGAAACTTTAATTTTTTTTTTATTGAAACTGTAAAGTTTGGATTATCATTTTAATATTTTTTCACGCTTTACAATTCATTCTATCTTTTGAGATACACATTTTATTTATAATGTACCAAATAAGTCTACATATGTTATGTGTCTGTTTAATATGCCTTGTGTATGCCTAGTGTATCCTGCAAACAATTGTTATTTTACTAGATAAGGAACAGTCTAAAACAATCCTATGTGTCTGCACATGACTTTCGCAAGTATTTCTTATGTGGAGGACTTATCCTCCTGGATTTATTTTCAAACCTTTTTTTAACGTAAGATGATGCTAATTTAGAATCACAATGCGATCATTTTCATAGCGTCAGTATGCTTATGACTTTCACTGATTTTTGGATTGGTTTCTTGATGCAGTGTTGCATTTGCACTGTTTCATTATTTGAGGCTGTACCAGTAAAAATTTAATTTTCTTCTTGGAAGGTGCTTTTCCCCTTTTTATTTTGAGAAACAAAAGCAGGCAATATATTTTTGCTCACTGATGATACCTGCATCATTTGTAATATTATTGAATTGTTATTGAATTCTATGCTGTTCAATTAAAAACTGAAAAGATCTGTGTTGAAACTGAAAAATTTATTTTAAAAGAGAAGTTTTCAAATTTAGAAAGGTCTTAGATTCTACTTAAAATAAAGGATTTAAATTCCAAAGAACACCATTTAAAATATATTTTAAGAGGGTCATTGTTTTACCTACGTACTTGAAATATACCTAATGTTTAGTTATTTATGGGGAAAAGATTCTAAATATTCTCTCTAAATACTTTTTTTTTTCATTTAACTTAAGCATATGCTAAATTATCCCAAATTATAGAAAACAATTCTAAGATGATGATTTTTATATCTTTTTAGCTATGATTAAAATTTTCTAACTTCTCCGTAGGCTGAATATTTAGCCTTCCTATACAATTTAGTGCTTCTAGAACACAATAAATCTTTTTATAGTGAAAATATGGTCTCATTTTTTTTAGGCTTACATATATGAAATGCGTTCAAGCACTTTCTTACATAAACTGGGGAGACACACAGAATCTGTCATCAATGTCACCTTTAGTCCTTCATCTCCACAGGTAAGTCATTGCTTTTTTTTCCTCTGTAATTAAAACACGTAAAATCTTGTAACTTTGTAATTTTAAAGTTACAAAATTTCCAAAAAACTCCTCACTGTAATCTTGCTTTTTACTGCTCTTTTTTTTAATTGCCAATATGCTGTGCATATGTAAGGCTGTTCATCTACTTCCAGCTATAGTGTGGTTATTGTGCCAATTATAAACTCATGCAAAATGCCTCATTCTGCAGAGACAAATGCTCTGACAAAGGGCCTATAAAGAAGACTTCTGGCCTGGGAACTATATTGAGCCTGTATATGTTGAAGGTTGGGAAAATGTACATCCACATCAAATTACCTGAATAGACTACTAATTCAGAGTATGTAAGGGAAAAATAAATAGGGACAGGAATGTGACAAGGGGCTCAGGCCTGCTGTCATTACTCAAAGGCCTGAAAGATTTAGAAAGCAACATTATTTTAAGTGTACTGTGTCAGAATAAATATTGAAATAGCTTTATCACAATATTTTGAAAAACTGTTAATGTTGTGCTTTGAGCCTTTCAGATCTCTATAGATAAAAAGTACTCCAAAGAAGTTAGGCATTATGCAATAACAGGTTCTATTTTTTCACTCATCATTAATACTATGCTAACAGCATTATATTTCAATGTAATGGTTTAATGATAGTGCAGCATTATATACAAAGGACTTTGCTAAGTTTTATCTTGTCACCCAAGCTTCCCTGCATCTTGTTTGTCATGTGTATACTGTTTTAATCCTATGGATTTTCCTTCTTTGTTTTAATATATTGAATCTGCATTGAAATGTTATACTTTCTACTTTTTTCCTTACTTAAAAGACACAACAATGATCACTATATATACATAAAAGAGTACACAGTAGCTCCTGTTTACTCACTATCTCCTCACCACTGGCTATGCGTGCTACTATTAAAAAATATTTATCTGTAAGTAAAATTTCTTTACATTCAGGACTATTGTCACATTTATGTATCTCCTTCCATTTTTTAATAAATGTTCTAGCTTTTTAGTGATTTTAGACTTCCTGGAAGTTTTATTCGTTGTGTATATGTTGTTTGAACTGCAAAATTGTTGATCGCTATCTTGTGGTGAACATTATGTATCTCTTGGTTTGGGATTCAGCAATACTATATTCAACCAAATGGTATGTTTTATTAAATTTTACACCCAGATTAAGACTAATAAAAGGTTTAGCACTGAACACATTTCTGCAAAAAGGTGTTATATACTAAAAGAGTAGACCTGACTGGAGTCTGGCAGCACCTTGATCTGTGGTGCAGCTGTTGGAATGCAGCTTGGTGGGAAATGTCTTATTAGAGTTCATCTGTTAAAAGTCTAGTGGCTCAGTTGTAGTAATATTATGGAACAAGGCTTTGAAATAACTAAGTTCAGGCAAATCAGCTGTTGATCAAGGGGGAAAGAATCCATAAATGGTGTAAAATAAACATTGGCTGTGGCTCCAAGCCAGTCTGCTCTCAGAGTGTGCCTTGGGGCACAAATTCTGAACTTTACGAAACATCACGTGGTCAGTTTAAGAGCCAAATCTGAAGTTCACGGGCCACAAATCCTTTTCTTGAAGAGCTCTTTCCTGAGAAAGAAGATCTGTTGGATTTCAACCAGCTAATGAATCTCCCCAAAAATATGGTTCTGGGGGAAGATTTTGAAGCTGATATTATCAGGAACATTTTACTAAAAAGCAAGACGTGTGCAAAACCTGTTCCTTTAAAATATTACAGATAAAATATAAATTTGATTACCCAAGTCATTGTGCATAGTAAGCTCTTCAAAATGCTTTCTGAGTAAGTATTTTTGGGGGAGTTACAGAACAAAAAAAAAATAAAGTTACCTGGGCTTTCCAATATAGAATTTAGCATGAAGTTACATTCAAAGGCACTAGAAGAAAAAACTAAGCAATGCAATGATAAGCTTGTATAGTGGAAAAGAAGAAAACCACAAATGAATCAGAAAAGGATAAGCCTTGAAAGAGAGACTTTGTATTAGGCATCCAGAGCTTCCAATACTGGAAGACTTTTATACCTACTGTTACCACTAGTTAGGGATTTAAAACTGACTCTATTCTTGTTTCATCCAATATTTGAATGAATGCAATTAAGAGTTATATTAGGTTCTGAATAGCTACTGCACAGAACCCCATTGCATTCAAAGGGATACACTGGCAGGAGAAGGAGAAAGGGGAGCAAAAAGAAAGTGACCGATGAGTGAAATTCAAACATTATGGCTAAGCTTTCTGCTGTGGAAAGATGCAGCCAAAAGTGAGGTGTACTGGCAGTGCTCCTGTTCTGTCATTGCTTGCCCAGCACCTGTCCATGAGGTAGCTTGTTCCAACCAATTTTATAACTCTGACTTGCATAAATGTTCTTCTAGAAAAGAGAGAAAAACCCTGAATGGGTATAATAGTGGCTTTTTATTTAATTGATGGGGGCATAGTTGCTTTCATCATATGGTACTCTGGAATGATTTATAAAGTTATTTCTATGAAAGCTGGAGAAAGGAAATAAGATAGAAACTTTGCATTTATTTTAATTTTCAAGATGATTTTTCAGTTTTTATTCCTTATTGTCATTTCCTGTTTTTCAGACATTGTTCAAAACTTATGTAGGGAAAAGTGGTTCTCTTACTATAACCACTAATAGAATTTCAATTTATTTTAGGGAATACACATTAAGGAGTGTTATAGTGTTTAACTACAATAACTATAGTTATTAACTATAACACATTTGAGCCAGTCTAAAGTAAAAAACAGTAGGAGTCTTATCTTCCAAATATGGGAATGTTAAATAATCTTTGAAATGTTTTTCAAGCAGGATAAAAGCAAACGGGGACACCGTTGTCGTCTGCTGGTTTTTGGCGGGTTTTGTGAAGTTGGGTGTTAGTATATACTGTGATAGCAGTTATTTTTCATGACAGAATCATGAGTTTGAAATCAGCATGCATTGCTACCACCCTACTGATATACTGAGAGGTAGCTCATCCCTTTGATGTGCTGGGGCTAAATATGCAGTCAGTCAACTGGCTTGGCTGAGAACCTTCTGATGCAGAGTGTGATTAAATTTGGGTGACAAATCAGAAGAAAGAGAGAGACTATTTAATATTTTTCCAGCATGTTCTCATGTACCTCAATAGCAAGTCTGCAACTCTTTACTCATTTCACAAACCTGTTCTCTTTTCTTATACTAGTTTAATCTGCTGAGGAAGAAATTTCACAAGTTTTCTTTACAAGCAGTAATGTGCAGTAATGTAGTCATTGTATGAAGACTGTCTTTGTCAAAGACTGTTCAGCAGTTTGTGTCTGGTAAGAAGATATTTCCTTTACCAACATGCAGCCAAAAAAGATAGTTCTTTAAAAAGAAAAAAAAAAGAGTCTGCTGCTGACTTCATATATGAGATTTCTGAGTTTGAATGTATTTTTCTCCTTGTCTTCTTGAACTGTTAGCTAAATCTGTGTACTCACAGATGTGTAATCTCACAGAATCACAGAATATGCTGAGTTGGAATCATTGAGTTCAGTCCTCAGTCCTTCACAGGACCATTCCCAAGAGTCACACCATGGGCCTGAGAGTATCACCAAAACACTTCTTGAACTCTGTCAGGCTTGTCACTGTGACCACTTCCCTGGAGAGCCTGTTCCAGTGCCCAACTACCCTCTGGGTGAAGAAGCTCTTTCTAATATCCAACCTAAACCTCCCCTGAAACAACTTCAGGCCATTCTCTTGGGTTCTTCACTGGTCACCACAGAGAAGAGATCAGTGCCTGCCCCTCTTCTTCCTCTCATGAGGATGTTGTAGACTGCAATGAGATCTCCCCTTAGTCTCTTCTTCTCCAGGCTGAAAACAGACCAAGGGACCTCAGCCACTCAGTGAATTGAATGAGAATTTGGAGTGGATATTTCTTAAATTTAATGAACATATCAGTTTAATTTTCCCAAATTATTGAAGTATCAGTCTGATGAAATTTTATTAATATTTTATTACAATATCCTTCTTTTATCCTCAGAGTTAAGATTTATTATCATGGTATTAATTGAAAAAAAAGTGATGGCAGTTAATGCAATTAGTATTAATCTTTCATGGGCTGTTCCAATTTGATCAACTTGTAAATGGTACCAAGTAAAGTAGTATTCGTGTAAAGTAGTCCAAGGCAGCTGCATGTGCCCTTTCTTTTTCTTATAAGACTCTAAGACTTGTGAGAGGGGGAAGCTGGGGTGAAAAGATCATTTCAAAAGGTAACAGCAGCTAGAGTATTGTTGAGCAAACAAATCATCGTGACAGTGAGTAAAACCTTTAGGGTTTTTTATGTAAGATGGTGTTTTTTAAAAAAATTATTTGCCATAATTGACTGATGTAGCCGTGTAGTTTACAAGCCTACAACTTGTTAAAAATTTTGGGATAGTCTTCAGATGTAGAGAATTGCATAACCGTTCAACTTCCAAACTTTCAGCAGTTAAATGGATTTAGAAATGGAGCCAAAGCACAGAAGTGCTAGTCTAAGTGGCTTGGGGGAAAAGAGGAACTTCAGCTTTAGGCACCTTTGGGAGATTCTCAATGTGGGCTTGGTTTCCTACAGTGTCGTGTTTGGCTACTGCCTTTAACTCTCTGATTACACTTGCAAATCTTGGCCCTTGTCATTTTAAAAACTGCTTTGATGGCAAAGAACATAGAGCTCTGGGTTGTACCACACTCCAGCTACGAGGGCAGTTGAGCCTGTGGAGACACAGCAGATAGTCCTACTGAGTTAATTCCAACCCCTGAGAATTCAGACTTAGAGTCCATTACTGCACATGTAGGTCTCTGTTTATAGCAGAAAGATAACTCCTTTTGCAGTTTCTAACAAACCTCAATAATGCTGTGTAATGATATAGTAAAATAGGAGTTTGATGTTGTTGTGGAAAAAATTGTTTATACCAAAGAAATTCTTTCAAGTATGTATGACAACTCTGAAGAAGGATGGCAGATTTTAAA